TATAATAAGTATATATTATNTATNTATTATAATATATATATTATATAGTATATATATATATATATATATATATATATATATATATATATATAGTTTATAATATGCTACCTCTCATTGTGTTTTTCACGCCCAAATTAAGACTATTTTTTTTGGACAGTGCACGTATAGTTTTGCCGTGGTACGGTTAAAGTTGAAATAATCTACTCATCTATGTGGTATTCGTACTGTACAAGCTTACTCGGCAGAATTGTAACTCGTGTAGAGGCTGATATTCTATAAGGTGCCCTCTGCTTTGTTCTGGAATTTGCAGTGCTACATGTGAAACTTCACTGACTCAGTTAAGATTTCATGCCTAGCGGATGCCAAATACCCAATTCCTTCTTAACACCAATGGAGTACCGATAATATTTGGTGTTGAAATTGCATTTGTATTCCTGGGGTGTATACAGAGAGATCTTCCCGTTAGACGATTGCTTCTACTTCATACCAGCCGGCCAGCTACATCAAAGGATCAATGAGATTCTAAGCCAGTCACATGACGGATTAAGCCATATCGATGAGGACATATCATTGGAGAATGACAGTGACAGTGAAAATGACGATGTAGAGACCAAAAGTATGGATACATTTGCTCCTGAGATGATATGTATATATACCCACATGATGTATGTGTGTATCACATAGGTATTTCAACATATTTTATGTGTGTTCATGTTCGTATATATTCGTTCGAGTGTATACGGGGGAGTAATGCTGAGTCAGGGTCAAAATCAAAAAGTGGAGGCAAGTTGCTCTTTGAATGTGTAAGTTAACTCTTCATTTTATATCTGCTTGTCGTATCCTTGTGTCTGCTTGTCGTATCCTTGTGGTGAATGCTAGCCTCTATGTACATGTGTATTCTTGTTATTGAGTGCCGCACTATTATACTATACTTTAGATATAAATTCTGCATACATACAAGCAAGGTTATGTCAGTAGGTGCTTGTAAACTCACATACCTTTGTTTCCGGTCTTGGCCCCGCTGACGTTTCCACACGCGAATGAGAACCCGACCATGCGTACACATACTATTACCTATTTTTCGTGGCACTTCTCCATGTTCCGATGCTAGCTTTGTTGTTGTGGCTTGCACATTGATCGATGTAGGCATACCTGAGCGCCCCTGTCATTGGACTAAAGCATGTCCACTATATGTACAAATATTCATGAGGATTCATTGGGAAAGCAGTGCAGTGAAGGAGAGTGACCTAAAGGACTCATGCCAATATACATAAATAGCAATAGGACTTCGCGGCAAAACGGTTGTGGTCCCAAATTTAATAAGCATGTGAATTTGACTCGCTCTGTTGTGCGTGTGCATATGTGCATGCGATATTATGAAATACTTTGTCTGGGTGAATTTTATTTATTATGCTCAGTCAAGACAGTAGTTTAATTTAGACATGCACAATACATAGGTGCCCAAGTGCACTTTTCTGGAATATATACAATCCCTACGAGAATGCCTGCATACTGTAACTGTACAATCAATGCTCCATACTGTGTATACTGGATTATACGGTGGTTGATATAAGACATAGCCACTCCTACTGTGTACACTCGCGATTTGAGTACATATGTGCACTTTAGGAATTGGTTTATCTCAACACTCTACCCCAATCATATCAAACTCCTGATTTTGAGTGTCAACTCCTATTCAAATGTGCCACCAGGGAAGACCGCCTACACACCAACCAGTGCTGATGCGGAACGGTACCGAAGAGTCATTGCAGCGCAGAAGAAGATGATCGAAGAGCTGCTCAACATGCAAGACGCTACGATAGGTGTGCAAAAAACTCCCAACATAACTAAACATGTGTGCGTGTGACATTTTGATTATGGACGGCTAGCCTACAACCATGTATTTTTAGGAATGCTTATCTTTGGACAGTCATTCGAAGCGTCATTTCAATACATCGGCGTGCAAGATGCCGCACGGTGTATATATTGTGTTTGGTCATTTATATTCAAATCACACTTTCAGGTATTTTCAGTATTAGCATGTCTAGGTGTTATAAGGGGTAATATGGGGTACAGCAATAAAGAGACCTCGATTATTCGTGACAACAGAGATAAGGCAGTTTACGATACTATATCCATACATTAGTGTGCGATTCCAAATCCGAAGGATAGATGCTTGGTCGGTGTTATGCTTGTATATTCGTATCGTAAGAATTTGAATTGGAATCCCGTTTTGCTTTACAACAGACGACACGGACAATGAAGGGGACGAAAATGATATAGTTGATAACGATTTACCTGGCGAGGGTTTGAATAACGAGACCTTGAATGGTAGATCTAATGAGGAAACGAGACTGAATGCGGACATCGTGATGCAAGATGATGGAACAGAAGACACACAAAACTATCAAAAAAGAAATAAGGCACCTAAAAAATTACAAGACACAGATGATCAGACATATATACAATCGCACGCTCCACTGGAGGATGTGCAGACGCCAATGAGCCACCGCACCTCGTAACTGGGCTGCATACCAAGTAGTGCAATAAATTCTTAAGATCTCCTTTCAGTCTGGTTCCATCGTTTTATGTGACACATACTAGCTGGTGCCTGGAAAGTATGAACAGTACCTATATACATCTTGGCGTACGTATGCGTAGTAAGTTTGTTTGTGTTCCAAATTGCATACATGCATAAGGCTTCCCAATGAGCTCGAAACAAGAAAACAGTATAATATTCAACGAGCTCGTAAGTAAAGTCACGGTATTTTTTTCAATGATACAAAAAGCTTCCCATCATCGAGATCCAAGCAATAACACGGTAAAATCTTCAAAGTATCCGGGAAGTGCAGAGATAGTGTGGCACACGGAAAAGACCTTCGTAAAGCATAGAGAGAATGGTTCAGGAAGTGTTCAAAACGACAGTTTGGAATACACGAAGCAGAAAAGTCCAGAAAGAGTTCAAATTATAGAGTTATTATTGACCATTTTAGTGTGATTTTTTTGCCATATTTCTTTTAGACGTATACAATATTGAGATCATGCAATAGTGGATACACCAGGCATACTAACAGTGTCCGTCACCGCGCTTCGGCGTAGCCTCTCTAGTTTGGCAGACTGTTTGAAGGCCATAACGCATATCATATCGAGATCCTGAACCTGAGTACGACAACGGGTGAGATATGCGTGTAAAACTAACCTTCCATTGTCATTTATAACTCCCCCAAACAGATTCTTGACTTTAGCGCTGACCGTATTTCGAACATTGTTGATCGCATGTGTTTGCATTAAGTCACCCGTAGAGCTCACACCCTTTTCGCACTCGTGCACTGATACAGAAGCACCATCTACCCTAAGTGTAACCGATGTACCCTGAGGTTTTGATGAAGAAAATATGCCAAGCTTGCCAATAGATTCGTCGTAGATCTCGTGGAGCGTTCCCTGGCTTGCGTCACTGTGCAATACTTTGCATCCGAGATATAGAACGTTGGTTGCTGTTATTCCCTTCTGGACAATTTCTGTCTCTCTTTGTTCTTGGCAATTTGTCGCGATCATATCCTTTCTAAATTACCGTTGTGAGTTTTATAAAATGTTGCTGCTTGTGTACGAGTGCCAATATGAAGGATAAGATGCAACGACTTGTTGTCTGATTTCAAAACTGACTAGATAAGTATGCGAAAATGTAAATATTTTCATTTACAGGAGCACACAATTTAACTTGTGTAAAGCTTTTTTTATTTAAAGTATATATTTTTTTTAAATAAAAAAAGCTCAAAAGATTTGAAAAGAAGTGGGATCTTTTTGTAAATATACAAAGTTTATATTTTGTTTATATATTAAAACACATACCCAACGCGATAGTTGGAAAGAGCATGGTTTCCTTAGTGTATGAACGCTGCGTGGGTGCTTGCTTCTACGCTATCAGAGGCGTTGTTTTAGCAGTCTAGCGTGTATGTGTGTACGTTTTTTTGTGTGTTTATGTGTGTTTATGTGTGTTTTTGATTGATATTATAGGCAAACGACAAAAATTTGCCGAAAACGTGTCGACTAAATCCGACGGTGTTGAGGCTTATGTTTCAAGTGATTTTCTCTAATTAAACATACATACATACCTGCATGTATGTATATATTTCTAAAAAACCAAACACCACAGTAAGGAGGCTATGACCAAAGAGCAAAAAAAAGATATGTATTGTAGAATGCATATTGTATAAATAGAATGTCTTTACACGGCACTGGTGACAATAAAATTATTAACCACCTCAGGCCCAGTTTCCTACCAGTCTCATACTTGCTTTTTCGAGTTTAATTTGCTTAAATATAGGTGTATTAATGTAATTAGCGTGATTTTAAGCACTTGTGAGATGTGTTTGTTTTCTGCCGATTTGTTTTTTATCTGTCGTCTGAAAGCGCTCGATTTAGATGTCAGATATTGTAGCGCGGATACAACCCATTTGTTGCACTTATGTTAGGTCCTTGTCGGTCTTAAGGGCTTGACATATGTTAGCAGTTAGACATATGTATATAGGTGTCCTCTGTCCTAGCTATTGCTTCGGAATCGCCCATGGTTTTACAGTTGACACTATTCGTGTTTAACATACGTCGACCTCTCCTCTGAGGCCGACAAATAACTAATACAACAAGTGCAATAAATGGGCTAAAATCACGCTAATTACATCTTAAAAGCAAAGTAAACTCGAAAAAGTACAAGTATGATACTGGTAGGAAACTGGGCCTGAGGTGGTTAATAATGTTATTGTCACCAGTGCCGTATAAAGACATTCTATATAAATTATTTATTTATTTATTTATATAAAAAATAGTACCAGAGTATTTATGTATGTATTTATGTATTTACATTTTACACTGTGTATTTTGTTCTTGTTTTTGTTTTTTGTGACATATTTACCAAAGTTTCAACTCTGGTCTGGAGTCTGGGGCCTCCGGGCCTGGAGGCCTGGGCTCTGGGCCTCTACTAGCCTCTGGTCCGCTGGTCCTGGGTTATGGACATATGTGATACGGGTGATCACACTGAATAGTGATTTGCACTTCTCGCGAATGAGCACAGGTCTCAGGAGCGGTTTATCTTTTTTACGTTAAAACGTACAAAACTCAATCATTTTACGTTTACGTTCAACGTTTCACTTTCACTACAAGAATCGTTTGTCTTCGGAGCTTTTGGGCAGTGTCCAACTTCCCTATGCCGCCCAGCAGAGGCCAGAGAGCCAGAGACACGACTCGCGTCTCACACCCATAGTCTCACACCCATAGTCTCACACCCATAGTCTCACACCCATAGTCTCACACCCATAGTCTCACACCCATAGTCTCACACTCATAGTCTCACACCCATAGTCACACTCATAGT